TCTTTACTCATGATATGATTCAGTATTTACTCATGATTCGATTCAGTCTTTACTCACACTATAATTCAGTATTTACTCATGATTTGATCCAATCTTTACTCACAATGTGATGTAATATTTACTCATGATACAATTCAGTCTTTACTCAAGAATATGATTCAGTGTTTACAGTTGATAAGATTCAGTCTTTGGTCATAATTAAATTCAGTCTTTACACACAATATGATTAAGTATTTACTTACAGTACCATTAAGTCTTTACTCACTATACGATTTGGTCTTTACTCATGATACGATTCAGTTTTTACTCCCAGTATGATTCTGTTTTAACTCAAGATATGATTCAGCCTTTAATCAACAATATAATCCTGGGATTTATAACAATTCCCTTTAGCTCCTAATTGTGATTAGATTCAGTCCTTAGGCTTGATCATGTTGAGTCTTTATCCAAAATATAGTTCAAACTTTGCTCATGATTCAATTCAGTTTTTACTCATGAAATGTTCCTGCCTTTACCCACAATATGATTCAGTTTTTATCTTCTTTATGATTCAGTTTTTACTCAGTTTACTATTCTGCCTTAAATCACAATACAATTTAGTTTTACTCACCATATGATTCTGCCTTCATGCACGATACAATTTGTCCATTAATCCCGCTGTAATGCAGACATTATTTATGATACATTTCAGTCATTAATTCTGATTTGATTCAGCCTTTTCATCACAATACCATACGATTCTATCCCGCTTTAAAAATCCCCAAATTGGGGAGGGGGGGGTGGTGGTTAAATTTTTACAAAATAGTGTTTCCATAAACTTCTGTGAAATGTTTGAGATCGGTGTTGTTAAAAAGCCAAAGTGATCATATTTGGCCTTGATTGGAACTGTGTAATCTAAGTACACATGACAGTAACTGGATCACAGGTCAACTGGAGGTGCATTTAGCTCATCCATCCATTATCTTTACCTGCTTCGTCCTTTCCAGGTTGTGGGGGTCACTGGTGCCCACATCCAGCAGTCACTGTGTGAGAGACGAGGTACGCACTGGACCAGTCGCAAGTCCATCCCAGAATTTAGCCCAGCTGGAATAAAAATGATATTCTTTTAGAAAAACAATCATTTATTAAATTGTTCCTTTGAAGTGAGGTCGTTCAAAGGGCTATCTACAACAGGTAAGATGTTAACAGTTGATAACCTTTCCACAGAACCTCACTTCAAACGATTAGCAGTGTGCTCAGAAATCTTACTGTGATGCTCTGCGAGTGCGTCAGCTTCTTGTCTGAGTGTAGATGAGCTGCCAGACAGACTGAGAGGAAAACGTTTTTTTCCCTCGTGTCACACGGCCTTGTCATTAATATTTAAAATCATAAAAGGCTTAAATAAGTACAGGCCTCCAATGGCTCATATATTGCATGAGAGCTTCATATATACGCTGTGGTCCCTCTGTTGTCGTGTAGCTTCTAATCACCAGAAAAGAATTGCATGTCATCACTTACTTTAGGAAGGCTGTTTGACTCTGAGTGTTACCATCTGCTTTCTGCGTGCTCGCATCATCACTGGCTCAGCTGCTCACGGAGTCGGAGCGCAATACGAAGCGCCGGGCAGGAATAAGGGGGAAGGCTGATTGTCTCTGTAAGACTAATAACAGCCAGTCACCGTGCTCCGTCTGCACGTTACGGCCTCTCACGCACAAGACGGTGGCTTCATGGTTGGCTTGTTTGAAAGCAGAAGCGGTTTCCTCAGACCATAAACATGCATGTTAGGTTGATTGGTAACTCTAATTGGCTCTAGGTGTAAGCGAGAGAGTGAATGGTTGTTTGTCTTATTTGTCTTCATGTGTCCCTGTGATGGACTGGAGACTTGTCCAGGGCGTCCCTCGCCACTTGCACAGTGATAGCTGGATATGGGCACCAGCAAAAGGAAGTAGTGGGTAAAGATAATGGATGGATGGATGTGCAAATAGCTGAGTGTCCCAGTACAAACTCTGAGTGCTAACTGGTTGCATGAGATGTTTGTTTAAAGTTGGCAGCGGCGTTATGCATTCCTTTAAACATGCAACATTTAGATGCTCCCTCATTTTGTGGCAAACGCATAATGAAACATTATAATCAGGAGCAATGAGTTGGAACTGATGCGTCCATTAAAAAGTGACAATTCAGCTGATAACAGGTACTTCACTGATGGATCCAGCTGATGCAGCTTAAATAAATAAAGATCTCACCAGTTAAATAAAATGGCAACAAGGACCCTAAATGGTCCGCAAGTCCTGAGTTTGATACAGATGTTGTCATCTGTGACACATCAGCTTGGTTTCTCCCAGTAGACATTTTCAAAGACGTTTCTACACCTTACAGTAACTGCTGGTGGTAGATCAGGGTCCAGGCTTTTCCAAACGCCCCTGACCTGGTGACTGGAACCTTCATCTCCTGGGAGCAGAGAGGACGCCTTACCACGAGGGAGATTTTCAAATTAAAACGCTGCTCAGCGGGACACTTATCTGACTTTGTTTACGTTTTGCTCGTGGACGGCCTCGGTTCGGGACCTCTGCGCTCCCCTGAAACAGCTGCTGCGACTCGAAGCGAGTCAGAAACTCGTCACACCCAGCAATTGTGTTGTGGTGGTGGTGACCAGAAAAGACGACGCATGCATGCGTGTGGCTTGTTGAAAACCCAAACCCAAATACGGGACAAAACCTCAGACCAAAATTAGCCGCGTACAGTAGAGCAGCCGTGCGCCTCGTTCTTATAATTTACTCGTCACATGGCTCGCAGAAGAAAACCCCGCAGAGTCCGTTCACCTACAGCAGCATTTCCCTCCTGGAAAACAGAAAGCATCCTCTCATAAGTCCTGTTTAGCTGTTTATGATCCTTGAATTGTTCTTGCTGCTATTTATACCCCACATTCAGAAAAGCAGGAAACTTTTTGATTGCAATGAACATATTTGTGTGTGTACGATACTGCAGGACAAGTTGTTTCCTGGACCAACAAATTCCTCCGGCAACAAAACGTACAAATATGAGCCTTTCCAGAACATCTAACATCTTGGCTGTTGTTGGTTTATTTCACTTCCTGAGCCATTTTCGTGAAACATGGAAGTGATTTGTCACAAGGAAAGGATAAACGTTTTGGTGGCTTTGTAAATTAAAGTCAATATCTCATAAAGAAAATGAAGCTAGAACTAACTATACTTTTAAACAAAGATCTCTGTTAGCGCTCAGAATATGAGTTAAGGATGCCTTTCAGCTACTACCACACCAAATCCTAATTCATTCTAAGTAAAACTGACCAACTTACAGCTTTTTGTGTTTGCTGTTCAATTCAGTTCAGTTAGAATCACCTCAGGTAACTGAGGAGCAGACTGCTTTGAGTTTAACTTTATCACTGAGTCTCATCTTGAGCAAGCATGAAGGCAACAGTGGAAAGGAAAAACTCAGCATGAAGAAACCTTCAGCAGAACCAGGCTCGGGACAAGCGGCCATCTGCTTCGACCGGCTGGGTTTGAGAGGAACAGATACACAATGGCAGGTCAAGAATCACATGTTAAGATAGAAATGAAAACTATTCATTTGTAACAATTCATTTTAAGAAATGAGGTCAATTTGTCCTCCAGTAGTCTAAGCCTATAGCAGCATAACAAGCCAACCCTAACTATAGGATTCATCAAAAAGGAAAGTCTTAATCCCAGTCTTAAAACTGGACAATGTGTCAGCCTCATGGACAGAAACTGGAAGCTGGTTCCACAAGAGAGGAGCCTGATAACTGAAAGATCTTCCTCCTATTCTGCTTTTGGAAACTCTAGGAACCGCGAGTAAACCTGCAGTCTGAGAGCAAAGTGCTCTGTTAGGAAAATATGGAACGATAAGATCTGTAATATAAGATGGAGCTAGGTTGTTGAGGGTTTTGTAGGTTAAAAGTAAGATTTTAAATTAAATTCTGAATTTGACAGGGAGCCAATGGAGAGAAGACAAAACTGGAGAGATATGAGCTCTCCCACTAACTCCAGGAGTCCAGCTCCTGTTTACATGTGAATACATAAAAACATAAATGATAAACACCAAGCCTCTGACTGAAACGTGCATTGGGCTCTTATACAAGCAGCTAAAGTTCAGCTGAGTCTTTTAGCTTCGTCTGAGACTGGACGACACCTGAAACAAAATTATAATTTCAAACTTTTTGAATCAATTGCTCCTAAAAGAAGAATCCTTTTTGTAAAGTCCAGGTTTGTGATGCTTCTCGAAACCAATCATAGAATTTAAGCTAAAAGCCAATTTAGAGGTCTAATTTGAATTATTCTAATTTAATCTTAATTCCTGCTCGATGACAGCTGACCAGGCGCTGGCAGGACTGATCCTGTAGCAGGAAACTTGTGTCACTGCTCACATTCTCCGCTCTGAGCCTTTTCAAATATTCAGCAGCAGCATGGCGGTGACGCTGCAGGATGGGTTACCGTCCTCGTTCTTTAAATGTCACAAGTCTTCAGGCTTGTTTGCGCTCGCAATTATCCCTCCTCCGTTCACGGTGTTCTTACATCAGGTAAAGATGTAATTTCAGCCTGAATGAAAGGAAAGAAAGGACAAATGTTACGCTCACAAACTCAATGGAAGGCGGGGAAAATGATTATCCCGGCTTTTTCTTTTTGCTATGATTACAACCTCAAAGATCCAGAGGAGAGAAAGACGTCCACAGAGATGTCAGCTTATCGTCCAGGCTTCTGCCCTGAAGGAACGTGGGATATTCACGAAGCGTAATTGTGTGCAGATGTTAATTTTTAAACAGAGAAGGATCAGGTGCACGTCCTCTAGCTTCTCTTGTCCCAATAAAACCTTACGCCAGAGGAGGAGGAGGTGGAGAGAGATAACAGCGCAGCTTCGGGCTCAGACTAATAAAAGGGACTGCTCATGAGTCTGCTCACTTGGCTGAGTTTCAGGAGTTAAACCAGACCCGCTGAGCCTCCTTTACAGGTTCAGCAACTATAGCTTGGACAAACGGTCTCTGTGGCCCAACTTGTGGTCTAACATCTGAAAAGTGGAATTTGGTGACACCGTTAATGTCAGTTGTACAAACTCTTTGACGTTTTCCCTAACAGGGCTGAGCCATTAAACAGGCACGTGCAGTAACACTATTGCCTGCCTTTGCCTTTGGCAGCGGGTGATAATGACTTTTTCCACAGCTCGGTGCAAATAGGAGTGCCTGTTTTAAGGATTTATTTATAGCGAGGGGCTAGCCTTGTAGTCTGGGCAAGGAGACACAAGGACATATCAGAACCCGAGCCGAGCTCTGCCAAGTCATGAGTTGTTAGATTCATTTCAAAGAGATGGGAGAGCAGAGCTGAAGCCAAAGACTCAATTTTGGTAATCAACCCCCCCCAACCCCTCCTCTTCCCCTCGGCCTCCCCCACCCCTCCCAAAGCCTCCCAGACGCTCATGCTGTGTCAGGCTCTTTGAACATTAAGTTCTCTGAGCTCGTGGCCCTCGTTACGTCTAGGCGCTCGGGGTTTAAGAGACTGGACGCCCACAGGTTTGTGAGGAAGCGTTTCTCAGCTGGTCGTTCTGGAGGCTCGACGGCTGCGTTGCGTTTGAGCGTCAGCTCGACATTCCTCCCTGCTTCAGAGCCAGTTTCCTCCTCAGATAAATATAACCACGGTCATCCACACTGGCACCACGGGCTCTGTCGAACGGGGCCTGGCAAAGTCCATGTAACAACTCCGTACTTATGGGTCAGCTAAGCCAAAAGTGGTGTGTGTGTGTGTGTGTGTGTGTGCATGTGTGTGGAGGGGGATGGGGGTGGCTCTTTCTGTGGCCTCAAAGAACCTGAGGCTGGGGGTCCGGGCTTAAGAGGCTGAGCCCCAAAGATAGGAAAAAAGGTGGGGGGAAGATTTAGGATAAAGGTCCCCAACCTGTAAATGTCTCATGGACAGAATCGCTGGGATTTCTGAGACTGCAGCACCCCCTGGGGGGAACTCAAAACTGCACAGAGGAAGTCAATAAATGTAACACAAATGTACAAATTGATTTGTTTATACCTTTTGGTTTTGCAGTCACTAATGAAGAGCGGTTACTGATTTGGTGGCAGTGTGATGAAGCTGTTGTGACATGCAGCTTTAGCTGAGTTCCTGACTTTAAACCGTGGCTCGGTTAATATCTTTAACATGAAGCGTGTCTCATCTGTCCAGGTGCAGAACGGGAGTCGCGGGAACACGAGGAGACCATGGCTGCAGGGGCCACAGGAGAGCTGCAGCCGGCCAAAGTGCCTCTACATCCCATAGACATTGTGAACAGTAAAAAGGTCATCGCCATGCGCAACGAGCATAAGAGGAAGCTTGGCAAGCAGCGCTCCTACGGCGCCACCATGGATTACTCCCCTCTGGCCATTGACAAGCACGAGCCTGAATTTGTAAGTGTGATTGTTGAAAAGTCTCTGAAGAGTTTAAGACATTTGTGGTTTTGAGTGACAGAAAGGTAAACGCCAAATCTTTAAATTACTGCAAGGAGAGGAGGGATTCAAACCACTGGAGGTCAGCAGATAGGATGTTTGGTTAAACTTTGAACTGGTTGCAGCTTAAAACCAAAGTCTCTAAAGGTTGTGACGCTCTGCTGCTTTCTTTGAAGGGTCCCTGCAGGAGAAAACTGGACGGGATCATTCAAGGGATGAAGGACACGTCTCGTGTCATGGCGCTGTCTCTGTACCTTCCAAACTGTGACAGAAAAGGTTTCTTCAAGCGTAAGCAGGTGGGTGCTGCCTCCATGCTGACATCATGAGTTTTAAATCATTTAACACTTATACTCAATACCAGTTTTTAAACCAAAGTATCCACTTTGGAAATCAAAGTTAATTTCTGAACCATTTATTTTGTCACTTGATGTTCTCTGACTGAACAACTCCAAGGTCCTGCACAGAAAAAGTGGGTTAAGAAAATGGATGAAAAGAAGAACTTAAACGAACAAAAATCTTTTTCTCTGGTTATATTTTGAACATTAAGAAAATTAAAATGACGTGACCAAAGGCAACTTGAGCTTGTTTTACCAAGCATCAGAAAGACTCCCAAGCATAATGACCCAGACATTCAGCAAACTGGTATTAATGATCTATAATGGGAATGGATTTACTAGTTTTTGACGGAGACAAACCGATCTGCTTCATTTGATCAAATAAAACATAATCCGTCAACGTTAGGAGAATAATAATGTGTATTCTGCAAAGAAAACGTACAGAAGAGGACTTGAAGAGAGTTCAAACCATTTGACATGAGAAGGGCTAAAAAGCTCTTTAAACCAATGGTTCCCAACCATAGTCCTTGAGGAACACCACCCTGCATATTTTAGTTGTTTCCTGCTTTGACACATCTGATTTAAATGAATGGGTGATTAACAGGCTTCTGCAGAACACAAAGAAGTAATTAAATCACTGAATCAGGAGTGTTAGAGCAGAGAAACAACTCAAATATGCTGGATGGTGTTCCTCAAGGACATGAGTTGGGAACCATTGCTTTAAACAACCTTGGTTTAGAGAAATACACTTGAAATATGTATTTACAAGCTAAAGCAGCAAAAAATATTTAAGAACAGCTCCAATCCTTAAAAAAACATCAATGTTTCATTGTCAATTGTGTTTTATAATCCTTGACAACATTGACGAGCTAGCAACTAGCATGAGCAAGACCAAGACCCAAGTGGATCTCTGTCGTTTTAAAACAACTCTGATGTCAAAAACTTCTAAATACCATTTGAAACCCTTTGTACCACCTTCATGAAAATCATGCGGGAAGTGCTCTAAGTTACAATGGAAGTGCTACAGCTAGCTGCTGCCGTTATTTGTGCCTGAACACACTTCTGTCTAAGCCCAAAGAGAACTTCCTTTCAGAGTTTCTACAGTCTGATGATATTAAGTTACAAAATGTGAGTTGAGGTTCTGTTTCCTGTTTCCAGTAAAACCATTTCCTGTTTTCTCGTCGGCAGTGCAAGCCTTCCCGCGGTCGCAAACGAGGCATCTGCTGGTGTGTGGACAAGTATGGCATCCAACTCCCAGGAACAGACTACAGCGGTGGGGACATTCAGTGTAAAGACCTGGAGAGCAGCAACAACGAGTGACACCCCCCCTCCCCCACTGCCCTTCTCCAGCCCCGTCCCCCCGAAACTACCACACGACCCAGGGCCGGAGCCTCTACTTTGAATCACACCTGAGCCCTCCGCCCTCTGTTCACCGCTTCTTCTTTTTTAAAACGAGGGAAATAAAGCAGCCACCAAAAAAAGCGCGGGCTGAATAATAAACAACTTTTTCCCTGTTGTCAATCAAGCACTCCTCGACGAATGAGGGGTCCAGACGTTTGGGGCCCCTGTATGAGCCCGGAATGGATATATTTTTACAGAAACTGAGTATTTCAGTATTTCATTGTAGGGAAAATTTAACACACATTCAATATGGACAAAAAGGCATCCTGACACAAAATTGATAATTGGCAAATACTTAAAAAAAAAAAAAAGTCTGGGTTTGTGGTTCTGTAGGAGCACTTAGGGGATCCTGCTTAGATTCGTAAACCTTAACAGAAAAATGTTTGCCTGTGAGCGCATGTGTACAGAGTGAACGTGTGAAAAAAAAAAAGACTAGAATGTTGTTTCTCTTTCGTTTGACTTTCCTGAAAACGAGGGTTGCGAGCGCTTGACGGGGGTCTCGGGGCCGACCCGTTTCTCTTTAATCTAAAGAATGTTTTGGGACACGGAGCATTCAGGAGGAGCGACGTAGATCATCGCAGGCACGGACTCGTGTAAATGGGCTCTTGGAACACGTAGCTGTAGCCTGACATGCCAACTGTGCCTATGTGAGCTGACACTGCCGTGCAGAGCGTCGAGCGCTCCGGCTCTGCTGGGGAAGAAAAAAAAGACTCGCAGCTCCAGCGACGGGACTCAAGGTGGATCTCAGATCATCGACTCGTGTGATTTCGCTTTCTTTTGAATAATCAAACTCGCCAGTCAAGCGGGTTTCTCCTCCAGCTGATTTGTGTGAAGTGGTGTCTTGCATGTTTGTGCCGTTTTCTTTGCCTTCAGTGACGTAAAGACGACTCACGTTTGAGCCACGTTCCCCTTCAGAACCGCTTATTCAAGGATTCCTTGGTTTGTTTTTTCCCCTCCAGATACAAAACGTGATGAATATGTAAATGTGCTTGCCTGTAAAGAATTTGAATGAGCCTTAGTAACCAAGCTATTAGACTTCAGGGCGATCTGATCACGGAACAGGTTAATCTGCCTTTATGTCTGAGGAGCGTGGTCAAAACGTAAAGTTTACCTGAGAAAACGGGCTTTATGAAAATCACAGTGCCTTCCTGCATACTGCTAAATTATAAAACTGACCCGAAAGGGACCTCAATACCAACATGAGGCAGGTTTTTGTTCTAACTACAGCAATAGTACTGATTTTTTGAAGTAGGGTTTGGTTAGGTTTTGAACGGTTAGTATCTTACCTGTTGTAGATGGTGATTTGAATGACCTCAGTTTGGAGAACTTTGCTGCATGTCATTTACCTCTGAAGTAAAAACTCAGATTCAAGAATGACTTCAGACCTGACTATACAGTGTTCCTGCTGCATATCTGAAAATCTGCTCAGTTAGCAGGCTAACTACCGTTAGCAATAGTAATTCTTTACAATTACTTTCTCAGCATTCTAAAGATTCAAGTATTGCATCGACATGGTTCCTGACTAGATTACTGTGGCCTGAAGTAACAGAAGTGAAAATAATATTTAAAAAAAAATTCCCTGGCTGTTCATTCACATCAGCCATGTTGGATTTTAGGTCAGGGCTTGTCTAGAATCTCTGAATTTACCTTTTCCAACGTGTAAATTAATTTTTGTGATTTCCAAGCAGATATGGAGCACACCAATAGAGACATGTCAAGGTGAGGCCAGGCCCAAACCAGATTGGTGTTGTCATAAAACAACTTCAATGTTGAAATCTTGAAAAAAAAAAAACAACCTAAAATAAAGGTTGTTGGAAGTTCTATACATTAGGAAAGTTAGTTTCCGAACTAGCTAGTTAATTAGAACTAGTTAGTTCCAAACTGCAGTTTGGAAAATAGTGGACCAGGCTAACAAAGCTTGTTAGCTTTTAAATTCTGTCAAAAATAAACCAGTTCTCCAAACTGGTCATTCAGAGACATGTGCAACGGGTAAGATATTAACTATTCAAACTCCGTCTACGGAAGCCCACTTTAAAAGATCTGAACTGTTGCTTTAAGGAAGGAACACAGAAAGTCCCTAAAATAAAATGCTAATGTCTCCATCATCCGTCCCTCTGGTGCAATTTGGATGTTTAATCTTTTTCTTGCCTTTTCTTTGACAAAAAGCTCAGATTTTTCATGTGAATGCCAATGTGCAGGAAGTGGGGAGACGACAGGGTGTTTTCCTGCTAAAATGAGAGAAAAAGCTGTAAATCTGACGTGGTTTCTGGTTGTGAAAACCGTATCAAGGCTCTTTTATTCAAACACCAAATCCCCACTTCACTTAAAAAAGCAGCTTGCACTTGTTTCATTTACTCACCATTGATACACAAAGACACCCTCAGATGTCGTGTTGTGAAGTCAGAGCAACGGAAACTAAATGTTGTTGTCTCTTGTGCTTTCAAAGGTGGTTTGAGGTAATAATATTAAAAATAATAATATTAATAAATAAATAAAAAGACGACAGGGGCTGGTAAGCCCAAGCCTGCATGGGACCTTTAATATAGCGACATCTTTTTAGGAAAAAATACATAAAAGTAACTCGAGGTATTCTCGTGGCCTGTTGCACAGAGAGTGGGGGGTGGGGCCAAGAGGAGGAAGAGTGAGTGCCACAGGGAGCAGTCATCGGGGCGTAGCCACTTGCCTGATGTGAGGGTCACCAATTTTATGACTTTAGATACAGTTAGACAGATTCAAGGAGCCGGAGAAATCTGAGGAGCTCAAGACGACAACCAGGAGCTCAAACCTGAAAAAATAAAAGATTTGATATTTGGAAGAGTTTTTCCTGCGTTGCTGTAGCGTCCTCAGATTTCTCCCCTCCTGCTTGGTTTCATCTCATGTCATTACTCGGTAGGACAGTAACAACAGTACAGTGTTTTTTTCTGAATACATAACACCTTTTTGGTTGTAAACTCAAAGCACAATTGGTTTTCATAATCTGGTGGTCGCTCGCTTGTGAAACAGACCCAGTGGTGGCAGGAGGATAAATAACGGTCAGTATTTGGAGCTTCAAAAGACAAATATATATATATATATATATATATATATATATATATATATATATATAAAAAAGGAAAAAAATCTCAAATTATTAAAGCGAGTATCACTGTGTAATATTTATTCAACTTGTAATTTATGTACTCTTTTAACCTTTGTTTTATTTTTTTGTTATGACAAATCATTTATTTAAATAAAGTTATGTATTCATTTAAGCACTTTGGTGATGTCTTTATTTATTTATTTATTTTTCTATTTTTCTTTTTTTTTGGGTGGGGGTGGGTGGGGGGGGCTGAAAAATCATCTTCAGATATTTTAGTTGGAATCAGCCTGTTTGTGGAGCGATGGCTAATCTCTGAGGTACGAGCTGATAAACCTCTTAAGTCTTGAGACACCGGGCCGAGCCCGCGGCATGCAGGATGTGAGGTTCTAAAGCAAGTCACCTGGCTTTCAACTCCAGAGTCAGACAGACTGCATGTCCTTTAACCTGATGCGGGGGGGGGGGGGGGGGGGGCAGCTTGGTGTCTGAATGACTCAGAGGAAGAGATCAGAAGCATGAAAGAGGCTTCTTCACTGCATGGAAGACTTTACAAGTCTTTTTAACAGAGGAGAGAACCCTCCTCAGAAACAAGTCTTCAACTAACATGGCGGACGTCTTTTATCCCCCACATTAAAAACGTTACTAGAACCTCCTTCTTCCACCTGCGTAATATCACTAAAATTAGAAACATCTTGTCTAAAAATGATGCAGAAAAACTGGTTCGTGCATTTGTCACGTCTAGACTGGACTAGTCAATGATTTGTTATCTGGGTGTCCAAATACTTCTTTAAAACGTCTTCAGTTGATCCAAAATGCTGCTGCCAGTCTTAACTGGAGTTAGTGGGAGAGATCATATCCCTCCAGTTTTAGCTTCTCTCCATTGACTCTGTCAAATCCAGAATATAATTCAAAAATCTTACTTTTAACCTACAAAGCCCTCAAAAACCTAGCTCCATCTTATATTCGAGATCTTATTGTTCCATATTTTCCCAACAGAGCACTTCGCTCTCAGACTGCAGGTTTACTCGCAATTCCTAGAGTTTCCAAAAGCAGAATGTGAGGAAGATCTTTCAGTTCTCAGGCTCCTCTCTTGTGGAACCAACTTCCAGTTTCTGTCCATGAGGCTGAAACATTGTCCAGTTTTTAAGACTGGGATTAAGACTTTCCTTTTGATAAATCCTATAGTTAGAGTTGGTTTGTTATGCTGCTATACACTTCGACTACAAGAGGACAAATTTGCCTCATTTCCTTAAATGAATTGTTAAAATTGAATAGTTGTCATTTGATACTATTTCTAACTTAACGTGATTCTTGACCTGCCATTGTGTATCTGTTCCTTTCAAACCCAGCCGGTCGAAGCAGATATCCTCTTGTCCTGGTTCTGCTAAAGGTTTCTTCCTCATGAGGGAGTTTTTCCTTTCCACTGTCACCTTCATGTTGCTCAAGATAAGAGTTCTGTGATGGAGTTCAATTCCAAGCATTCTGCTCCTCAGATAAATAATACAAAATTATTATTTTTATATATGAATGTTTCTGTTCAGTGCCCTGAGACGACTTCTGTTGTGACTCGGCGCTATATAAATAAATTGAATTGAATTGAACTAGCAGCCGCATCTATGTTAGTTTCAGACAGCTCAGTTTTGAGAAATAAAGTTTGATTATGACGGGACTGATGAGCTAAAGGCTAACTCAGAATATAACTGATTTATGCAATATTAAAACAACTCCGGTATAAGAACGGGATCCATCATCCAGGTAGATAAATCACCAAAAAAGGGTTAAATCATGTCATCTGGACAAGTTTCTTTTTGGGAGAAACGTTCCGTCTTTCATCCGAAAGACTACATCGATCTGAGGCTTGTCAACCCAGATCTGTTTTATGAATGGCACCTTATCGATGTGCTTCAAGCCAGCCTGCTGTGGAATCCCCAGAAACTGGCTTTACACATGCAAAAAGGGCGAAAGACGAAATGTTTCTCCCTCCAAAAAACAAAAAATAAAAATCCATATGACATGATTTAATCCTTTGATGTGATTTATCTACCTGGATGAATGAGCTTTCAAACCTTTTTCTGAACTGGCCATGTGTCCTCAGGCTGTTTCTGAGAGTAGCAAGGTGATCATCTGGCCTAAAACATTTGATTGTTATGCATGATGATTGATTGTTTTGGATGGATGGTCCCCTCTTTGCATCTGTAAAGCTTTGGATTCCACAGAAAGCTGGCTTGAAACACGTCAACGAGGTGCTATTTATAAGACAGATCTGGGTTGGCAGGCCTCAGACCGATGAAGTCTTTCAGATGAAAGACGTTTCTCCCAAAAAGAAACTTGTCCAGATGATTTAACCTTTTTAGAAATCCAGTATAAAAACTTTATTAGCGGCTCACGCTAATGGCATTTCATAAAATTTTACATCAGATTGCTTTGAATCAGATCAAATATAAAGCTACGGTTGGCTGCAAACACAAACATTGCCTCCGGTAGACACTTCCTGCAGGAACATGATATTTCTGCCAGAATAACCATCTTATAGAAAACTGAAGGTAATCTGAATATTTATAAAATAATGTTCACACGGAGTCCTGTGAAATCTTTGAGACTGGAGTTGTTTCAGGGCTGCAGTCATCCACTTTTGTCTTTGAACTTGTTGGCTTGTTGTTTCTCCAAAGTGAGGTTGTTCAATTAGTTATCTACAGCAGGTAAGATGTTGTTTGTTCACAACATAGTAACCCACTCCAAAGCGTCTGAACCATCGCTTTCAATACAAACCGTCAGCTTGCAAATATAACAAAAGAACCAGAACGGTTCAAATATTAAGGTTTGACAATGGAAAAACATGAAAAAAAAAAAAAAAAACTCTTGCAGTATTTCCAGGAATTTTATGTAAATTTCCTCAAATTGTTTGTATAACATTTTACAGCCGATTACCATGTGAGCAAAGCTCTTAGATCATGTGACTGATGGATCAGTCCATCCATTTCCTGTAGGTCACAGGGAGCCCATGGGGTATCTGGAGGAAATGTATGCATGCACGGGGAAAACATGCAAACTCCACACAGGAAGTGATGGCTGTTGGGGTTTGAACCAAAGACCATGGTACTGTGAGGCAGTGGTGATCAGATTCTACACAACTATTGGATAAAGTCAAGGGACACTTTGATGTACAAACACACAGATGTTTACATGGACGTCTGCAAATCACAGCTTGTGTAATGGTAAATACCACCCCTTGCAGAGGTAATAGTGGTTCTTGTAATCAGCAAAGGGGAGATAAAAGAAGATTTAAAAGAATGTGGAGCAGCTGAGAGCAAATCTTATAAATTAGGGTTAGAGTCCTTTACAAGTGTTGGCTAGTCTTTATCCAAACTCTGCCATCAAAGACGGACTCAGACCTGCAGTGCCAGAGGAAGTCTTCCTCCTCAGGATCAGACGTTTTAGTAAATGTAAAGCTCACACGAACGCAGAATCTTTTATATCTTAAATAGTATAAAAGGAACATTTTAGGGACAATTTAAAACAAAAAAAACCTTAAAGGACCTAGAACAGATTGCAAACAACTAAATGACAAACATGCCTAAAAAGAGCTTAAAACAAGACTTTGCCTGAACGTAAAATGAAGTGGACACACCATTAAGCCGTTTTAGTGTTTGGTGTTGTTGATTAGGTGTGGCGGCCATTTTTTTTCATTCAACCTTTATTTATACAGGTTAGTCTCATTGAGTCTCATTGAGCCATCTTGATCTGAGTTGACTCTATCAGAATGTACCATTTGAGACATTCATGAGATATTTTGCTAACAGACACAGAAAACACAGCCAAATACAAGGAGTTACACAATCACCTGTTTTTAATGGTGGCAGGAGATAATTAGCTAGATGATGCTAAGTCACATTTACAATAATGAGAATGAAAAGTAGGCAATAGTTTAGTTTAGTTAGAACCAGTTTAATTTAAGCTGAACATTTGGAGCTTTAACTTTGTTTAAAACATTGGGTGGAAAGAAAAAAACAAAAAATATAATTCAGTTATCTGACTTTTGGGGGGGGGGGGGGGGGTTGTAGTGCACGTGATGTTTCTGCAACGATGAGCTGAAATATAAGCTTCAAAATAAATGTTGGTACTTCCTGTTTAACTGGAGAACTTTCTCATTTAACGAAGACAAAATAGTTGTGTGAACGTTTATGAAGCATTCACTCTATTGTGATCCGTTTTTCTTCCGTACGTTTTTCAGCATCTTTCTCGTTCCACAATTTTTGTGCTATTTCAACAAATCGTAAATCAAGACGTTCAGCTCGTTCAGGAGAAGGGTGCTATGACTTTTGGTATGGGTGCAACTTTAGCTTTTTGAGTCTTTTCTGACATTTTTTTTTCTCTTGGAAAATGAATTGAGCTTATTTTACATGCTTCAAATCTTTAGATCTGTTTACAACCTTTTACTGCTCTTTTCACGTTTTGTTCTGCTTCAGCTTCTTTCAGCTTCCTTGTGCAAATTTAAACTTTCTTTTCAGCTACTTTCAGCTCATTTCAGCTGTTTTGTACTCCTTTCGAATTCTTTCTGCTAACTACAACATTTTTGTACTTCTTCTAACTTCTTTCTGCTAATTTCAGCTTGTTATGCTCCTTACAGCTTATTTCTGCAAGTTTAAGCTTTTTCTGATATTTAGCTGTTTTGTGCTAATTTTCGATTTTTCAGCTATTTCCACATTTTTTGCACTAATTTAAACTTTTTCATCTTACTGGTAATTCAGCAAAATGTGCTCTCTCCACTTCTTTCTGGTAATTTTAACATCATTATAATTTTTTAGCTACTTTTCAGCAGGTTTTTTTTTTTTTTTTTTTTTTTGGCTCACTTCAGCTTTTTTTCAAATAATTTCCACTTATGTGCTAATTTTTGCTTCTTTCAGCAAACATGTTGTTTTTGCTTTCTTCTGCTAATTTAAACTTGTTCTACCTGTTCAGCTACCTTTTCTTTTTTAGCATTTTCTAACTAATTTCAGCTGTTTTCAGATAAATTAATTTTTTTGTGATTATTTCTGCTACTTTTGACCTAATTAACTTATTTCTGATCATTTCAGCTTGTTATACACCTTTCAGCTTAATTACAGTATTTCAGTTTTTTCAGCTCGTATTTAGCTGTTTTATGCTAATTTTAGCTTTTTCAGCTAATTGCACATTTTGAGCTCATTTCAGCCCTTTCTGCTTCCTTCGGGTAGTTTAAGCTTCTTTCTGCCTTTCAGCTACTCATTTTTTGATAATGTCAGCTTTTTTTAAATCTTGTTTCCTTTATTCTGTGCTAATTTCTACTTTTTAAACCAGTTTCAGGAAACGTGTTCTTTCCACTTTCTTCTGCTAATTTAGGCTTGTTCTTTCATTGCAGCTACATTTCAGCATATTTTAGCTACTTTCAGTTGTTTCTCAGCAAGTTCTTCTGCAATAAGCAATCGCACTGCATTTTCACAGGAAATGCAGTTTCTCTAGTTATTGAAACATTCAGCGAGCGGCAAACCCTCTGTCAACAAGAGATGTTGTAGAAAGTTGACAACAGAACCAGTAGCCTGAAACTGGGGCGGACTCTGGACTCTTCATGTGTTTTTCCACATGGACTCAAATCATCACGTGAGCACAGGACCCCCCCCCCCCCCCCCCCCCACACACACACACACACACACACACACACACACACACTCCCACAGCTCGACCTATTGTGCCAGATCTATTAAACCCAAAACAACAGACACTTGTGTTGATTTGTTCTCAGCCTAAAACTACCACCACATGTGCAGAAAACAAACAAACAAAACAACATCTGAGCTCTGCGAACGACACCGAGCCGAGCTGTCAATTTAACTTTTTTTTTTTTTATAAAATAGAAAATTAAAAACTAGAGTTTCAAACTGCGGCGCAGGAGCGTCCACCTTCTGCCCAGCCTGACTAAACTGAGCCTTAACCGGCTCGTTGGCACATGAATAAGGTTACGAGGCCAGAGCCGGGCAGGAGTCGTCTCATATGATACGCTTCTGGCTGCAACTACAAAGACGTCTTTCTTTCTTTACACCCAAGTCCTGAATCCTTCTGATTACAAATCTTCAATGACTTTTACGGTTGACATTTAGTCCAAACTTCAATTTGTACACACACATCCTATAAAGATGAATCACTCGTAAATTAACTGTGAGACTGAATGTGTTGTGTGAACAAAATCCAATAAAAATATTTTTATAAAATATAAAATTCTACAAAGCTCAGTGGTGCCTCACCTTAGTGGATGTGAAGTGATACTCTCAGTTAGAAAATATGAGGCGAGTCCTCATTTCATGGAAAATGTCTCCTGTTGTGTGAATGTAATGCTATCGCCAAATAACACAGCACTTTCTTGAAACCACTAAAATCACCACGATCAACGTCGCCATCGGTAATCAGTCCACACCAGGGGTGGGGAACGTTTTCCCCAGAGGAGCTTTGATTTTTTTTTGTCTTACTCCATTAAAAGAATGGAGGCTCAGAGAAAAGTTGCTCAGTTTCTGTCAGTCTAGATGTTTTTCTTGGGTTTAGGCTTTTGGTTGAGTTCCTTTTAAATCTGCTTTAATTCCTGTTTTGTATAACCAGAAGTTGTTGTTTTTTTTTCGCTTGATGCACCTGTTCATCCTCAACCATTACACCTGTTTTCCATTTTGTGATTTTCTTCGTCAGTGTGTTAATGTTAGAAGCTGGATGTCGTCTCCACTACAGCGTTAAAATAATTAGCCCAGATGTAGATGGCCTTTGCAGGGTCTGGAAGGAGCATTCAGGGGCTCCTCATTTTGCCAGATTAAAAGCTGTCCACCTGTTCTCAAGAGATTTTGCTAACATACAGACAAACAGTTCAAAATATAAAACAATCCAGTCATTTAGAGACAATTTTATGTGTCAATTATACATATATTGCAGCTTTAACACATAAGGAATCAGCAACAAATTAAGTAGGGATGCACAATATTGGATTCTTGGCCGATATCCGATACGCCGATATGTTAAAATTATTTGGCCGATAACCAATACCAATACAGATATTTATTTTCCTAGACCTACTTACAGAGACTACATAGCTTTCTCTGCAGTGGAATTAAAATACTGCATTATTCTGCATGCTCTTTGTCAATTTGGCCTGCTACCAAAATGCAGATGCCAAAAAGGGGCTGAAAATGATGCTTGGATTATGTTTAATGTCAAATTTTGTCACTGGGTTGTCATACAAAAACAGTGCCTTTATATATATATATATATATATATATATATAT